AGAAAGGTTAGCCACGGTAACCGAAACGTCGGCGAATATAATTCTCTACCGACATCGCTGTGTTATTAACACTATAACATTCACAATTGTGTATTCTGCTCATGAGGTCCAGGATTCGATCCTCAGCATAGTCAAAGAACTTGCACTTCTGACGAGATTCAAAGAGTTTTGCACACCAACAGTCATTACTTTAGATTTTCTTAGTTAACGGTATATTCCTGAATAAAATCGCGACCCTATTAATGTAACTGTGATCAGTGCATGGCAATGCTGGTAAATCATGTCTTCTGCCGCGATTATTTTGCCGCGGTATTCACCGGAATACAGTTGTTCAAGTTGAATAACTTGAAAATCGCCAGAGGAGCTTAATCCGAATGGCATTCTGGTGTCATTGGTCCACGAATTTTGAAGAGTTTCCCTGTCTTCCATCCGTGAGAAAAGCACCAATGTCCGAGGAAAAATTTCCTGAACCTCACCTCCATCAATTCACAGTGTTTTCAACCAGATGAACTTCGAGGCTACTCCATCAGAGAGGTGTGTGGCCTCGAAGCCTAACTTGTAAAGCGTACGCTATACCGAGGACCAGGCAGCGATCGGGTTCCAACCCCACCCTGTTTGGTAAACGTTTTCTGTATATTACTGAAAGAAATGAGCCTTTTGCTGAAGCCTTAAACCAAGCGGTGAAAATATGGGTTATCTGCGGACTTGACAGTTGTTATAAATGATAAGCGGTATAAAACAGCGATAATTTATGTAGAAATATTTTTTCACAAGTTGAATCTCTGGATTAACTAAAAAATCCGTGTTTGATACCGATACTGGAGAGCGTCTTACATATTCACTGAAAAATCTCAAAATTGAAATCTGCTGCTATCACGAAATAGAAAATAACTCTTTATCGTTGTAGTCAACGTATATAAATAAATAATTAGATAGTCATCATTTTATTGATGAACGAGAACCTAACTGCCTGTTTCAGGAAATTTCCGAGTCTAAGTGGATTGTAGATATGCAATCCTACAGACTGATGAAAATACATTAGATAGAATGAGCTCCTCGATAGACGCTCCGTACGTATGAGTTTTCTTGATAACTGATTAGTTCTACAACCTTCCTTACACATATCTGCCAATGAAACCGCCTCAACCGAATCCTTTCCCTCTTGTGAGAGAAAAAGATAAAGGATGATCGAATAATTGGTTGGATGACTTAACAAATAATTGATTATTTTAACGCTCTTAGCCTGGATTAGATAATATATTGCTCCTTGTTTGCCAGTTTTATTGCTACTGCTCATTTCGAAACTTCATTTTCTCAGACATTCTTCACCTGGTCATACAATATACTGTGACATAAAAAGGAACAAAAATTCTGCCGAAAATGTAATCGCGCCCTCCCACTCTTTCCCTGGGATTCAAAATGATTCCGAAGTTTCGAAAAAATGAAACTTCAATTAATTTCATAGCATTTTTAACTGGGCGTCTTTTTGCATACATTTTGAACATTGCTGTTCCATGTTCCATTGTATAGTTGCGGTAGCGAGTCAGTGTGTGCTGTTGTATCTTAGACACCATTCGAAGAGATGCGCACACACCATCCGTTTGCGACCATTTTAAAGTGACCACCTTCGAATATGTTCAACTCTACCGCTTGACAATCAAGACTTAGAGAAAAACAAAAATATTCCGAGAACGGTCTGGCCTCCTCTTGGATACACGCCATCAACGATATTTTTGACCCCAGATGCTCATAGTTACTCAGTTCAAATAGCTCTGGGGAATAAAAAACCCAATGTCAGTGGAACAGCCGTTCATTCTATTTCTGTGAATACGATACTACTAATAGCGAATGCTGTGACGGGAAGATGATGTAATTTTTTCGTTTGAGGATAAAATTGTTCATCCTTTCAAAGGGTTAATTCGTCGCTTATATAGCAAATGAAGAGTGAACTGAAAAGCTAGGAAGCACTGCAAAGTCTAACGCCGTCATCAGGATACGAACCTGGGTTAACGCGGCCACGATGCAGTGTCCTGACCACCATAACACGGCTTCATTTGCTACGAAAAATTTCCCTCTTGAAATGGAATCAATTCCTCTGTAACGCTCATGGAACTCATTCATCTTTATTATTGCAATGAATGTTTGAAAACATTTTCACCAGTTTCTGTCAGTCCATCTTATCCGATAACTATGACAATAGGAACAACAAGATTAATTACTGATGGCAATTGTAAAAACAGTATGGTATTCAGAAATTTATCTTGGAGTTTAGTGGCCGAGTACGTGATATGACAAACGAAATCGCATATGGGACTACAGAAAAGGTTTGTGCAATCATTTAGATAAGCGTGTTTGTTGAAATCACGCAAGATGGTCAGTTAGAACAGTGAACAATAACAGTTGCAGAGTATTTCGCTATTCCCTTGCGAAGTGAACGACTTGTACATAATTTAGTTATAGTCTGATGTGTCACAGAAAATATGTTGATTTGTTGGGGAAAAAAAGAAATTATTACGGTATTAATATGGTAAAAGGAATACTTCAAACGCACTGAAATACGATTGGGGTCACCTTCCTTTAACCAAAACACACAGGAGAAATTATCCGCACAGATGTAGTTTGAGAATCAGTACAAATTCGCTCAGTGATCCAACGATATATGGACATCTCTTGAACCTCGCAATGGTGAGATTCTCAAGACATTCTGGTTAGAATATCATTTTGACGACTGCAAATGCAATCATCAGTTGAAAAATCGCTTATCATTACTACAGAATTTTATATAACCTGAACCCAACGCGCGTGTACAAGCACCCACTCACACATTCTCTGCAGAGTTTCTCTATGTGCTGACTACAACGCAGGCATGAATGAGGTTGATCGATAATATTCCAAGGTAGACCAATTCACATATAATCGACTGGGGTGATGATCACATTGGTTCCTTTCGTGTTTACGATTTGTAATCATACGAGTCCATTTTGCAGCGGGCAAACAAAAGCACACGCATCTGCCGACTGCCCACTAAAACGGTGTGTAATATGATGTAATACTGAGTGGTTACTTCTTCTCCAATACGATAACTTACTATCCTATACGACCCGATTGATCCTATTAACTACACAGTTACACGGCAATTCATGCTAACGATCTACAATTTCTAACTACTGATAACATCTTCAGTAGTAAAACTGAGAACTCGACCAGGAAGTTTTGAGAATATAGCCCCGGAAATGGGGTCTGTGGGATACTGGCATGCCGGCATTTTGGAATAATCATGTTGCATTTGTTTTCATCTATTATTTTTAGAAAATAAAGAAGTCGATTCCACCACTGAACAAGAGACAAACCCAACATCATGATTACGAGACATCAATGGGAAACTATATTTCCAGAACGATGGGGTGTTGGTCAACACTGGAAAGATAACTATCCATACACACTCGGTTTCTATCCGGAAATGCAGTTTGATTATTATTCGTACGAAAACTTCTGTGCCGCAGTCCAGGCCATGTCCTACCGCGGATTCGACAATTTTTGCAGCGAGCCAAAAGCCTCTCGTGAGGACAATCGCCGTGAACTCGCGGCGTTCCTGGCACACATCTCGTTTGAGACCTCTGAAGGAATGCACGCACTGTATCACAGAGAAGAGGAACAACATGAACAATACCAGAGTGGTTCTATAGAATTGTATCGGGATGTGGCCAAAACCAACTACAAGATGAGCGATAGTCCAGTCTACTATCCACTCGGTCACCGTCGAGCAGAACAATTGAAATTTAATCGACAATCATATCATGGACGTGGACCGGTCCAACTGCGCTGGGCTTACAATTACGGAAAATTCAGTGAAGTTGCGTTTGGAAATCCGAATATACTACTGAACAAACCGGACATGTTGTTGGAAGATGGCAAGCTTGGTTTCATGTCAGCCATATGGTATTGGACCACTACACCGAAGAATGTGGTCACCCCGCATGACTATATGCATGATCATCGTACAAAGTTTGGGTATTGCGGATTCGGGCACACGATCGCCGCAATGAACGAAGATTTCGAGCAAAATGCTGCGGAATTCGGTCCGTACGTCCGCGATGCACAAGTTACCAAGCGTGTGGTCTTTTTCCGTCGATGTGCCGAAGTTTTGGGCGTGCCTGTGGGCCGGTTCACCATTGCTCATTTGGATACAATGGGAATTTGGTGAATAAACCTTATATCTTCCTCTCGTTTCCTCCCTTCACATCTGTTTCCTTGTGTTCTCTCTTTGTATCTTATATCTATCTGTATGTGTATGTGTATTTGTGCATGCCCATTTGTTGTGTATGAGTGAGCTCCTTGTGAACCAAATTTTGCTAACTGTTCCAATTGTGCCTGTATTTTTTCACTTAAAAGTAGCCAATTCACTTAAGGCTACAATCACTTTATTTATCATTCTGTAACTATAAATATCATGATTGTTTAAGTGATTCATAAATTTTGATGTAATCTATACAGACATAGTTCGAATCCCATAAACGTCACTGTTTTGTGAATTCTTAAGTGAAGTTGAGTATGACTGAACACAATAAGGACATTCCTCCTAATACATGTATATTTATTACGAGTTGGGGCTCCGATCGATAAAGAGAGAGTGAACAAAAAATGTCCTTAACAAATACCATTGGATCACATTTATGGGTCCATGGTTCGGTTGTTCTTTTCATTCTATGGTTTATCGTATAAGGGAGAGTGTAGATCATGAGCCTGGATCAAAACCATACCTGCGTACAAAGTTTTCGCTCGAGCAAATTGTGGACATTGTGACCAGGCAGTCATAAACCAATTAAGCTCAAAGAAATAATGCCCATTTTTTGATTAACACATGACAGTTCCAATTGTTGTATGCGGGAATTCGCTTGATAGCAGGTAAATTGATTCTTTCCAGATAGCTAAACATGTCCACAATGAATGAGTGATGTTGCGAATATAGTGAATTCCACAACTTGTCGCTGGGCGGTGACAGGTTCCGCACCGAGTCCTCAACATGTGCGACATTCTAACGAATTTCAAGCACTTACATCCACCAATAACAACAATCGCGTGACGTCATAATCAGTACTGATATGCGTCACAAATCACGCATAAGCTATATTGTCGTATTGGGGAATGCGTGCGTCTATGATGTCAGGCGATTGGTGGATGCGAGCTCCAAACGCGCGCTAAGTGTTACGTGCGCGGACTGCGCAGTCCAGTGCGCCCAGTCCAAATTTACTGGATCGTGCTGTGGCGTTCATCGTAGTTGACGTGCTCAGATGAGTCTCTTTGGGATTGGTTGTATTAACTACATTGTAATACTTTCTGTTGTCACAATAATACGCTGGTGACTGCATGTTAATTGATTGCGTGATAGACACTTCCGAATTCACTGTTCCGTACCGTGGGCTGTAATCACATTGGATAAACTTCTTGGGGTTCTTGTGTTTGGTCAAAACGAGTTTTTCTAAATATTTTTTTTAAACAACTGCTGACTGATTATCCCGTTTGTACAGTTTGTCAAAAATTGAACGAACAAAACAATGAGTTGACGTCCACCGGTCGTTTGCATTCATGTTAATTCCATGGGAGTTGGACCAGGTTCCTTAATGGTACTCAAAATGAACCTGAGAGAAATATATGCGAATTTGAAAAAAACATAATTGAAACATCCATGCAATCTAGGCAATACTTTTATTTACTTTTTACTTTTATTTTCATACTATTTGTTAACTGTATTTTTACTCTACGTTAGTGATAGTATTTGTTCGAACAGGAAGTTACCGATGGCGAAATTATCCGATATTGATGTTACCACATGGATTTCGGCGTAATTCATAACTGTTTATTCAAAAGAATTGATATTTTCAGTCCTCAGACCGAGAGCAAAATGGTTTGCTTGAAACGATGATTCAAAACAAAGTGAGTGTGAACGACGGTACACAGAGATCAGAAACGGTTCGAAGAGTTTTCCATCAGGAATATCAAATATTACGGTGCAAAACTCTATTGATGAGAATTTTGGACCAAGTTAGTTGATGTATGTCGTCACAACTGTCTAGTCCCCAGAAATGGTGCTTCGGGTGTGCACATGACTGTTCCGCTGAAAAAGATCAAGATTTCCATTAGCACCATGGTTTCGCATCTGAATGCATCGAAAAGTACCCCGCGAATGTACCTGTAGTATTTTTCTATGATCGCCGACCCAGACAACAGCATCAAGGAGACAGAATTTAGCTCACACAGTTCTCAGTAATTCAACTGAATTTAAAGACAAATTTAAAGTCAAATAAGAACCCAAGTTGCCCAGCCTCATCCGAAATGAAGGGTGGAATAAAATCGATCAGAATGGGCAGTACACTTTGCAAATCTCATTAAAAGCATAGATCCGAAAATGGTGTAGTTTTATATTATTTGTCCTCTTTTGCTGCCAAAACCTATCGAATTGATTAAGCGTCAAATTACCTCTGATCTTTTGAATATGAAACACTCAAAATGGACTCATTGGTTAGTGGGGGACAATGATTGTCGGGGAATAAAAGCTGTTTTTGGTAATTCATCAACGGTCTGAAAGATTCCCATCATAGCATTTAGTACAAACACAATTTGACGAAACAATTGTTTTTCATCAATTCATCAGAGCAGATTACCCTCGCCCTAGTGGCCAAGCATATGACTAAGTTACGTTTCTGTTGGATAGTAACGAAACCACTGAAACTGAGCAATCTGCTCTGAAGAGGTGTTGGATGATGAGATGACGCTGTTTAGAAACACCTTACGTGAGAATGGATGCAGAGATCATTTCATCGAAAGGAATTTACTTGAACAAATACCAAAACCTCTCAAGCAAAATTGTGAGAAAGAAAGTGTTGTTCATCAGTTTGCAATCCGAAGGTGATGCCGTAAGTGAGATCCAACTTCGATGATTGAACAGAGAGATTGAAAACGCCTTCAACGCTGCCAAGTTATGGTGCGAGTTTCGAGGTGTTTCTATGATCCACATTCAGAATAAAGATAAACTGTCAATGCTGACCTCATCAATGGTTGCATACATTTCCAGATGCATGTGTGGCGCATCTTATACTGGTCGGACGGCACGATAGTTATCTACCCGGATCAATGAGCATCACCCACGCTGTTTAAGACTAGGACAGACCGGATCAATAAACAACTCCATCGTAACCCATTTAGTCGACGCCGACCATCAAGTAAATCCGAAAGTCGCCTTCAAAGCGGTTTATCGTGTCTCCCACACCAAGAGGAATGGTGTTCAACTGCGCATTCTAGTGATAGCCGAAGCCATTGGGATAAGAAAGTTGACCCCTGACCTCTGCACCCAAAAGCGTTTGGTTTAGTCACTCCAACTTCCATGGCCCGTGATCGATCAGGCCCGAGTGTGTCCACCGTCCAGTTACCTTGAGGTGGTAACTTAGATAAGTCAATCAAATGGCAAATGCCAGTTGACCGTGACAAACTCTTACCCATGATTGGTGGTGTCCAATTGTGTGATCTGTTTTCTAATGTTATCCATGTAATCAGTAAACGGCATGGGAAGGAGTTTTTAAAAAATATTGCTTCGCCAAACTGTGTTTGTTCTAAATTCATCAGCTGTTCAGAACAATTGTAGGGATACTTTATGGTGTTTATTCTTTAGCTTTTGCAATTCAAGTTGTCTGAATATCATTTCAAGATGTCCGGGTTTCAATTCCATTTGTATCGGCTTCATTGTTGACCTCATCAGAGCTGCCAGACCGGTGTATTTTTCAAGCCTCAGAAATATTTGGATGGTCACAAAGCATCACAGACTTTTTAACCTCCTGTTGAAGCGCGGGGTTCAGGATTGAGAGATGTGCGCCCGTTACGCACATCCCAATTCCTATGACCTATTTTGATTGTTTACCTTGCTAGTACGTGTACGTGTCTGTGTTTGTGTGTTCGTCTCCCTCCTCGTGAATAGCCATGTCGAGCTATGCTCCGCTGATAGAAATGGATAATTCGCTATCAACGCTTGAGCTATTGCTTACGTCCGTCGCCTTATGCTGCAGTGGAATTTGTAAGCTACCTCTGAAGTGGCTGCAACAGGACAATAATCGGTCCCGCTTGATTGATATAGACATCATTGTTGACCAGATTCACATCCATTTGATGCGACAACGCCGGTTCATATTCCATCTCGTTGTTATTGTCACAGAGGCTAATACAGAAATTCTACTGAACAATCAAAGTGACCAGTTTGATCACATATTCAGAACGAAATGAGATAATCATAGCAAACTAAATACCATTAAAATAAAAGATAATTTAGGTCAATTGTGTGGAAAGTGCACATCCGAATAGATGCAACTGAAATTTAACCATAGGGTTATTCAAAGTAACATTTTGTGTAGGTCAAGGTTATACTGTTATCTTGCTTGTCGTTAAGTCGTCATATAAAAAGGCATCAGCAGATATTCAGATTTGTGTATCTAACATATCATTGGTTGCACAATTAGTTGACAGTTGACAATCAATACAGAATTTGCCTACTGGCAACTAGTAGTAGTATAATTAACAATGGTAAACATCCCTCCTATAAACAATTTTGGTGAACTTGCTACTGTGTCACATGGAAACAACCGTATTAACTGTGAGCCTTAATTGGAAGAAATAATTTCAGTAGTATCGTCCTCAACCGATGGAAGTGTTCAGATCAGCAAATGCATTTAAATATTCACCGGATTAGCTGAGATATTATTTTTATTATTAATTCCAATATCAATTCACTACAGCCTTACAGTTTCATTTTGCAGAAAATACTTGGATGAAAACTGAGTTCAGAGAAGCGTCATTGAAATCTTTTAGTCTGTACGAACAACCGATAGGATTTCAGCTACAGATAACCCGAAGGACCTGTGGAAAATAACCCCGATTGCAAATCACAAAACAGCGTTCTCGTAGAACACAAAGCCAAATCGAAAAATTGCGTTGTGATGAACTACTGAACCATTCCATTTGACCCAAATACTCACACACACACACACACACAAACAAAGTATATAAAATAGTGAAATAACACCCCAGGTGAGATCGAACCAAATGTGTGTTTCAAAAATTAACTTCGTCAAAATCAGTTAGGTTTGATTCGTTCAGTATGGTTAGCGAGACAAATATTCTATCCGGTTAGTCTATTTGTCTTCACGTCATGTATTGTCTTGGAGCTAATTTCGATCAAAATTGCGTTTGCCTACTTAATGGCATAATAGATGAGTCACTATGACTTTACAAGAAATCCCGATACTTTCTAATTAATTGTTGATTCTTCTCCTCAGAATCAATTTGTGTTCTTTCGACTCACTTTACCGCTTCCTATTTGTCCCGTTGACATTCGTTTCGTTCTGGTTATCGATTTCTTATATATACTCAAGCAAGGGCGTAGTTCTCCCAGTCTCTGACACCTCAATGGACACGCAGACACACGTACACTGATCACTCGTATGACTTCAACCACACGAGATCTCTTGTGACCTCCATAGCCCCTTACTATTGGTTGAACTGTTCCGTTTACCCTTGCTCTGTACCGGTTTATCCCCAATCATTTACAGATTATTTAACCACCTACGCACATGTGACCTGTTTTGATGGCTCCTTGGGAGTTACCTGTTCATTTACACACACACATGCACGCACGCACGCACGCCTGCCACCGGTTGTTGAGAGGTCGACTTGTGTGCGCCCAACTCTCTTATGATTAGCTCATACTTTGGGAGCTTCATGTTACTGCCTGACTGGACTTATTTTGCTTGACTCCGTATAGTTTGACCATATTCTGTCTTTGACACAGCGGTGAGCTGCCCCCGCTTAAAGCACCTTGGTTGTAAGGTGTATTCCGACACAGCCGAGCGCTGTCATATTCCTATTTGATGCACTTATATCTGTAGTGCCTTGACGGCTGTCCTAACTCAGATACCCCACTAATCGGGGATTGTATATTATTTATCGTGTCATTAATTAATTCGCATTAATGGTACCGTATCACGAGACAGTCTTG